TCCTACACCTCTTCTTTTTAGGAATCTTTATAAAATTGTCACATTAAATCCTGCAGTCACCTCATGAACAGCTATTTTGAATTAATATAAATTGTAGTGGGTTTTCAGCTCACCACTCCTAGAAATCTCTTGGGTTTACTTTTAATTCTCGAGGTTCAGCTTTTTGTGTATTTGTTTCAGAAAGGATTATTTAAAAGAGTTTATATATTCTTTACTTCCTATGGTTGACTTTTTGATTCCTTTGTCATTTTATTTTATTGTGGTAAGCGAATGAATTTATTCTGATAATCCTATAGAACATGAGCTTATCTCTGCAACAGGCTTCTGGTCCGTTGGATGTTCTTGGATTTCTTCCTCTCCACCATCTCCTCAAGGAACAGAGAAAGGGCTCCCTTTTGCCCATTTGCTCCCCTGCCTTGAGGAGTTATTGCCTTCAATATTTTATTAACACCCCTCCTCCTAGGAATTCCAGGGGAAGGCTTACCCTTCTCTGGCCCAAGGGGAAAGCCACAGGCCATTTGAGGCAGCCCAGCATTCTTCCTGGACTGACAGCCTCCTTCTGGATTCCCCTCCTGTCACAGCCACGTTGCTCTGCTCGGCTTGCCATCCTGTAGTTGATTTGAAACGAGAAGCCCAAATGGAGGGATTGGGGAACAAGGTGCTTCTAGCAGCCTCATAACCCCTGCCTGCCTGGTCCAGGCCCCTGCTTCCTTGCATGTTGCTAACCCCCACCTCCTGGCCCTGCCGTTGCCTCAGTGCTCCCCAACTCACTCCCACAAAGGACAGTCAGTTACGGTTTTTTGGGCACCGGTTCTGCGAAGGAGGAATGCGGGACCATATCATATACTCTGTGTCTTACCCTTGGGCCAGAGTCAAGAGTAAACCTCCTCCTAGAAGGGGGGATCTTCATGGTCTGCCAATCCATTCATTTTCTTACCACTATTTCTTCTGGCATTTGGTGAGTAGGTCATTTGTTCATTCATTCAGCAAATACTTTTGGAGCACTCGTTACATGCCAGGCACTGCTGAAGAAGCTGGAGATATAGCAGTGACAAACCATATGAAAACCTCCTTCATAGAGCTGATGTTCTAGTGGGAGAGACAGATAATAATTAATAAAAACAATAAGTAGACAAAATATATTGGATATTGGAAGATGACAATTGATAAAAAGGAAGCAATAGGGCGTGGCTGATGGTTTGCCATTTTAAATTGAGCAGTGAGCATAGACTTCGTTGAGAAGATGTTTGAATCAAGACCTGAGGGGGCGATGGAATGAGCTGTGTGAATACGTGACAGAAGCCTGTTCTAGAAAGAGGGAACAGCCAGTGCAAAGGCTCTGAGGCAGAAGCATGCCTAGTTTGCCAGAGTGGCATGAACAAGGGGAACAGTAGGAGGTGATGTCAAGGAAGCGAAGGGCACAGAGGTGGAAGTGGGGGGACTGACCGTGTAGCCATTCTAAAGACCCTGTTCTTACTCTGAGTGGGAAGGGACCACTGGAGGGTGGTGAGCAGAGGAGCGACATGATCTTACAGGATAATTCTGGCCCCCGGGTGAATACAGACCACAGCAAGGGTGAGGCCGGGAAATCAGGCCGGAGGCTACTGCAGTCATCCAGGGTAAAGAGGATGCTGGCTTGGACCGGAGTGGTCACATTTTGTATTTACGCTGAAGATGGAGCCAGCAGAATTTCCTGATAAAATTGGTGTAGGATGTGAGAAGAAAGGAGTCCGCGATAGCTCCAAGGCATTTGGCCTGAGCAACCAGAAGCCTGGGCTTGCCACTAGTTGAGGAAGAGAGGACCGTGGGTGGACAGGTCCTCTTTTGGACACGTTAAGTTTGAGATGTCTATTAAAATCCAAACAGAAGTGTCAAGTAACAGTGGGCTATGTGAAACTGCAGTTCAATGGAGAGGTTTGGGCTGGAGGTATGAGCTGGGGAGTCAGCAGCACACCGATGGGACTTAAAAGCCACGAGTCTGAATGAAACCATAAAGGACTGAGTCTGTTCAGAGCAGAGGTTTGGGATCTGAGCTCTGTGGCATGTCACCATTCATAGATTGGGGAAAAGAATGGGGACCAGGGAAGGACATGGAGAGGAAATGGCCTGTGATTTAGGAAGATCAACATGTGTGGTGTCCCAGAAGCCAGTGAAGAAATTTGTTCCCAGGGGAAGGGGGGTGGACAACTATGTCAAGTGCTGCCGAGAAGGTCAAGGTGGCCAGGTGAGGACTGATCTCTGACCATTGGGTTTAGTAACATAGAGGTTATTGGTGACCTTGCCAAGCAGTTTTGGTGGATGGTGGAGTGAAAATGTGATTGGAGTGAGAAAATGGGTGGAAGGGAAGAGACAACTCTTTCCAGAGATTTCCCTGTAAGGTTCTGCTAATAATTTTTGCTTCTAGAACTCTTACAACTTGATATCTCTTTCTGTATTCTCATGAGGACCTTGGTGCCAGAGAGCAAATTGGGCACCATTAAGTGCCCCATCTCTGACTCAGTTGGAAACAGGAACCTTGAAGAGATCTCTGACTCAGTGTGGGAAAAATGCTGGATTCAGAGTCACAGACCTGGGTTTAAATCCCACCCAAGATTCACAGGCTCTGTGACACCTCTGCTCTCTAAGCTTCATCTTATTTGTTTGAAAAATGGAAAGAATAAGTCACTTCTTTGCAGAACTCATACAGATTAAATGGACAATGTGTGTGGAAGAGCCGGGTCCGGTGCCTGGCACACAGTAGGTGCTCAGTATGAGTCAGTAGCAGGACTGGCTGGTGTTCAGGTGTCATGCATTTAGGATTTGATTGCATTTGAAGGAGGCATGCAAGTGTTTGCATGTCTAGTTATTTTTAAGTGCTAATTGCCTCTTTAAATGAATTGTCATAATTGTGTTATTCCAATATTTTGATACAACATATGCTTATATTTGCAAAAGGCTTCTGGTTGATTGGGCCATTTCCAGTGTGTTGAGGTTTTGGTTTTGGTTTTGAAGGGAAAAGAATGGACTTGTGCAGTCATTTAGTGTTCACTGGGCACACGCTTTGTGCCAGCACCTGTTCTGAGTGCTGGTGGGCAGAGAGGAAAGTAGCAGTTGACAGACATGAACAATAGGTCGGTCACTTAGGGACTTATAATCTGTCAGGAGGGACAGCTGTGGAAACAGCTGGGTGCAGTCTAAACCTAAAGCCTGGCACACTCCCCTATTTCATGTGCTCATTCAGCGCCTTCTAATTGAGCACCTACTATGTGCCAGGCACGGGTGACAAGACAGCCTTAACCCCTGCCCCATGGAATCTGGGGTCTGGAGGAAGGGATGTAGCAGAGAGTAAGTAAAGAATCAGAAATAACTTCAGGAAGTAATGATACTATAGGGAGTACATGCAAGGGGCTGCAAGGGGAACGAGAGGAGGGGAGTCTTGTTATAGGATGGGCAGGGCTGGGGAAGGCTTCCGGGAACTCTGTTTTCTGAGTTATGTGATGCTGGTGGCTGAGTCCCATCTAAAGAAAATCAGCCCCGGCCCATGTCCATGGTCAGTCTGAAGACAGACGTCACCCCATGGTGCGCAGACCGGTGTTGTGAGGAGTTAGGAACATTCATGGTGAGGAAAACAAGGGAGGGTACTGAGTGCATGAGCTGTTGTTTACTCACTCTGTGTCCTTGGAGAAGTTCCTTAACGTCTCTAAAATTCCACACAAACAACAGCGACAGCAATAACAACCAACACTGAGAGGGCTGGCTAGGTTCCGGTATCCTGAGCAATTTACACATATTGGTTCATTTGCTCTTTATAGCTAGTCTGTAATACATACTGTTATTACCCTCTTTTCACACATGAAGAAACAGGCACAGAGAGGTTAACTAACTTGCCCAAAGTCACACAGCTAGTATGCAGAAAAGCCAGAATTGAAACCCAGGCTCTCTGGCTCAGCCACTTGCACCACACTGCCTCCTGAACAATAGGGACAGTAACGCCCCCTCCAGGGCAGTCGCGGAGGCCGAGATGCTGAGATGCATGCTTATGGCATCTGCCCTAGGACTTGGCATTCATCCATTCAACTAGTTTTGAGCTCTTTGTACCAGGTTCTAGAAAACAGGACATACAAGGACTGTCCTAGCAGAACTCATATTAAACATGAAACAAATAATTATATGAGAAGTTAGTTAGCTACAAGGAGTTGAGTGCTTCCAAGAAGAAATGCAGGGCAACCTGGGGGTGAACGATGGGATCTGACCTACTCTAGAGAGTATGAGGGAAGACACTGAAACTGAACCACTGCTGAGGGATGAGTAGGATGCGCCCAATGAAGGGAAAGCATGGGGCCGGGCCGGGGCGGGGACTTTAGCAGAGGGACGCTCACCATTTCTTTTCAGCATTGTACTGGAGCGTCCTGGTCTGAGCAGCGAGGCGGGAAACATGAGCAAGTCAGGGTCGGAAAGGAAGGTTTCTAGTAGGCTCCTAGCTTGTGCTCCTGGGGGGACGCTTGTACCATTCACCAAGATGCGAAAGATCAGGAGAGAATCTGGTCGGGCTGGGTGCTGGGAGCACATAAGAGAAAGTCATCCTGCTGCCCTGGAAAACCGCCAGGCAGGGAGTCGGGATGCTTCAGCCCTGTCCCCCAGTGTTTCTGCTAACCTGGGATAAGCCACTTTCCTTTCTGGATCCCCCATCTGTAAGATGGGTGGCTGTGGCACGACGGAGTCACGGTGGCTGTGGAGGCCAGGCCTGTGGGAAAACAGGACAGGTGAACAGGAGCTGCCCCCCTCCCCAGAGGGCAGGTGTTTGTATGCAGACCCTCTACTAGGAGAAGCACCCATCTGGGGATGGGGCAGGAGTCTGGCCAGGTCAGGGGGCCATCTCCACTGTCTGCCTTGCAGAGGAGCCCTCCCCTCTCTCCTTTGCCAAACATTTGTTATCACCGTTGTTGTCGCTGTTATCGGAGCCGTCGAGAGTGTTCTGCAACTGTGACACTGACCCCTGATGTACCCTTTTCATGTTTTAGACCTACAACAGCCAGAACGAGAGCAACGAAGACTATGAGATTCCCCCAATAACACCTCCCAACCTCCCAGAACCTTCCCTCCTGCACCTGGGGGACCACGAAGCCGGCTACCACTCTCTGTGCCACAGCCTCGCGCCCAACGGACTGCTCCCTGCCTACTCCTACCAGGCCATGGACCTCCCGGCCATCATGGTGTCCAACATGCTGGCCCAGGACAGCCACCTGCTGTCGGGCCAGCTGCCCACGGTGAGTTCCTGTCACCCACCGTGGTGTCCACCAGTTACAGCAGGAAAGCAGAATGCTAACACCTTTATGAGGACCCCCTGCTGTGTGCAGGGCCTGGGCTCAGTTGGTTGCTTGCATGGGGGTCTGCAGAATATTGGGGGGGCATGGAGGGAAATGTATGTCTTCATATTGCTTGCTTCTGGAACTCTGTTTATGATATCTTGCTATTTGTTTTAGTATTATTTTTAATAGTATAATCTCATCTGAAGTTTTATTTTTAAGAGCTTTCTTGAGATCTAATTCATAGGCCATGCAGCCCACCCATTTAAAATGTACAATTCAGTAGCTTTTAGTATATTCGAGTTGTGTGACCATCAATACAATCCATTTTAGAACATCTTTGTCATTCCAAAAAGATAATCTGTTCTCTATAGCCATCATTTCCAACCCTCCCACAACCCCCAGCCTTAGGCAACTACTAATCTACTTTCTGTCTCTATATATTTGCCTATTCCAGACATCACATATAAATAAAATTATATTATTTTTTAAATCTTGTATCTTGTTTCAGCTGCCAGGGAAGACGGTGATTACTGAGTTAAAGTTCGCAGGCTAGGTAGAAATTTGGCAGGCAGAAAAGGACAGGAAAGGACCCTCTAGGCTCAGGGTACAGCATGTACAAAAGCAGGAGGCAGGAGGGCTTATTTCATACATGGATATGTCATATGGTTTATTCTTTTTTATTGGGTTGGAGAGAAAGATCCTGAAGCCAAGGAGAGAGAGAGGTGGTGAAACAGTTCCCAGGGCCTGGATCATAAGGGTCCTGAATCCCATGCTATAGAGATGTATGATTTTTAAATTTTTTTTTAGCCTAATGGCTGATTTGTACAATCAAGACCAACAGAAAACCAGTAGAGCATTTTTGTGTAATAGAAAAAGCTCCTTAAGGGAATTCTAGCACTTCTCCTGAATAATTGTAATTTACTTGTGCTTTTTTCGTTCATAGTTCATATTGTATACTAGTCACAACTCTTGAGTTCATTCTGAAGTGACAGGAACCAAACTCAAACTAGCTTAAGCAAAAGAAGACTGAGATACCCAGGGCTGGACAAAGGGCCTCAGGCATGGCTGGATCCAGGACATCCAGCCCCATTTCCACGCAGCGGGCATGGTGGCTGCTGGCAGCCAGCATCTTCCCTGACCTCTGGTGGGTAGCAGTTTGGCGGGTCATGTTTACCTCTCCTGATGCTGCTCGGAGTCCACGGCCAAATTTGTGGTCCAATTCTAGATGACTGGGACCTTCAGGCATACAGTTTGTAGTCTAACAATCTTGATTGAGTTTTATTTATTTATTGTTTATTCTAATCACTACCAAATTTCCTTGCTTAAAAAAGAAACTGGTAGCCCTGGCCAGTGTGGCTCAGTTGGTTGGGCGTCATCCCCTGCACCAGGAGGTTGCCAGGTTGATTCCCAGTCAAGGGCACATGCCTGGGTTACAGTCTCAGTCCCCTGTAGGGAGTGTGCAGGAGGCAGCCAATCGNCGCAGGCTAGGTAGAAATTTGGCAGGCAGAAAAGGACAGGAAAGGACCCTCTAGGCTCAGGGTACAGCATGTACAAAAGCAGGAGGCAGGAGGGCTTATTTCATACATGGATATGTCATATGGTTTATTCTTTTTTATTGGGTTGGAGAGAAAGATCCTGAAGCCAAGGAGAGAGAGAGGTGGTGAAACAGTTCCCAGGGCCTGGATCATAAGGGTCCTGAATCCCATGCTATAGAGATGTATGATTTTTAAATTTTTTTTTAGCCTAATGGCTGATTTGTACAATCAAGACCAACAGAAAACCAGTAGAGCATTTTTGTGTAATAGAAAAAGCTCCTTAAGGGAATTCTAGCACTTCTCCTGAATAATTGTAATTTACTTGTGCTTTTTTCGTTCATAGTTCATATTGTATACTAGTCACAACTCTTGAGTTCATTCTGAAGTGACAGGAACCAAACTCAAACTAGCTTAAGCAAAAGAAGACTGAGATACCCAGGGCTGGACAAAGGGCCTCAGGCATGGCTGGATCCAGGACATCCAGCCCCATTTCCACGCAGCGGGCATGGTGGCTGCTGGCAGCCAGCATCTTCCCTGACCTCTGGTGGGTAGCAGTTTGGCGGGTCATGTTTACCTCTCCTGATGCTGCTCGGAGTCCACGGCCAAATTTGTGGTCCAATTCTAGATGACTGGGACCTTCAGGCATACAGTTTGTAGTCTAACAATCTTGATTGAGTTTTATTTATTTATTGTTTATTCTAATCACTACCAAATTTCCTTGCTTAAAAAAGAAACTGGTAGCCCTGGCCAGTGTGGCTCAGTTGGTTGGGCGTCATCCCCTGCACCAGGAGGTTGCCAGGTTGATTCCCAGTCAAGGGCACATGCCTGGGTTACAGTCTCAGTCCCCTGTAGGGAGTGTGCAGGAGGCAGCCAATCGATGTTTCTCTCCCTCTCTCTCTCCCTCTCCCTTCTTCTCTCTCTAAAAATCAATGCACTATTCTTTAAAAAAAAAAAAAAAAGAAAGAAATATCTACTCAATGTATTTTTGTAAGCTACCTCACATTTCCTTTTGAATCTGGGTGAGAAATAAAAGGAGAGAAAGGCGGGGGGAGGGAGGAAGCCAACCCGAGGTCCACATTTATAATGTTGGAGGCCTGGCTAAAGGGCTCAATGGAAATTGATGCTCCATTTCTTGAGGAACAATTTTCTTTGGGCCCATCAATAATGCAGGGCCTGAGCTTCCTCTCTCTCCAGGAGAACTAAAGATACCACAGCTGCATGGTTTTAATTCCACTTTGTCAGAATGCTTAGACCTTAGCTGCTTGCCAGCCAATTTCCTAACAAAAGCTCCCCCACTCCAGACTGTCCCAGTTTGGGATTTATGCTGACACGAGCCAGGGCAGGGCTGTGAGTGCAGGGGTGGGTCTGTCTGTGGTTCTGGGCCACAGTGTCACAGCCTTTGGTGCTGGTGATCAGTGGCGGCCGTGTGGAGTAGCGGCTAGTGTGTGGGCTCTGGTGTCCCACAGACCTGCATTAGACCTTGGCCCCGCTCTCAAACTTCAGCTCCCTTGTCCTGGAACCATCACAGTGCCCACCTCCAGGTTGCCGCCAAGTGTCCCTGAGATAATGTATGTAAAGTCTTCGCAAATGTCTGGCACTGAGTACACAATTGGGGAATATTTGCTGTTCTTATTATTAGTAATAAAAGTGAATTCCCGCTGTAACCAGATGGCAGTGTGTGCCATCAGTCTCATTTAGCTGAAGGAACAGACAGCAGAGGTTCTCGGGTACCTTTGTGGGGCCACCTGGTTATAACAGCTCTGATAACTTCAAGAGAAGTTATCTGTTTATCGAAGATGACCCCTGATGGCTCCTCCTAGGAAATGCTTTTGTTGGGCTCGGTCCAAATAGCCACTTTGCAGTCATTTTCCAGATTTCTTTCAAGTGAGCTCATGTTAAAGATGCTTCACAAATTCAGATTGCTTTAATTCTTCCATTAGGCAGAGTTTTCAAGGGTCCATCGAGTTTTATATTCCCTTGTTAAGTAATGAAAGATAAGCCAAACTGTTTCATCCAGGGAAGGGCTATTGGGCCGATTAGGAAACCAGGTAAGAACATGTCCACCCATCTGAACTCTCTGGCAAAGAGAGACAAGGCGCCACGAAGAGAAATTCTGAAAATATGTCTGAGCCGCAGGAAGCAGGCGTGTGTCTGTGTGTGGATGGATGTGCGTGCCATGTGGGTCATGCGGGAATGTGTGTCATCACCTGTTAGGAATCAAGCACCATGCAGAGGGCTTTGCAGATGTTTTCTCACATAATGCTCCCCAAAACCGAGGGAGGTGGATATTACTGTAAGGATGAAATGGAGGCTCAGACCAGGTAGGTGACTCTGTTAGTGTCCTGTGGCTGCTCTAACAAATCGCCACAAACTTGATGGCCTAAAACAACCAGAAATGGACTCTCTCACAGCTCTGGAGGCTAGAAGTTGAATTCAGTATCACTGGGCCCAGATCAGGGTGTCAGCTTTCTTTTGAAAGCTCTGGACGAATCTATCCCTTGCTGCTTCTAGCTTCTAGTGGTGGCCAATGTTCTTGGCTTGTGGCCACATCATTCTAAACCCTGTCTTCACATCACTGTCACCTTCTCTTCTGTCAGTGAAACCTCTCTCTGCGTTTCCTATAAGGATGCTTGTGATGGCATTAGGAATAATTCAGGATTATATCCTTATCTCAAGAGCCTTCACTTAATCACACCCACAAAGACTGTTGGTTTTTCCCCCTCAAATACAGTAACATTGATAGGTTCCAGGGATTAGGACCCAATGTGCTTAGGGGGCCATTTTTCAACCTACCAGTGATCAGCTGTGCAGCAGCCTTTATTGAGCACCTACTAGGGACCAGCTGTTGTTCTGAGCCCTGGGTCTATGAGGTGCCCTTGAAGAACTCCTCGTGCAGGTGTAGAGACAGGTGAAAACTTCATTTCTGAAAATGTATTAATGCTCTGAAGAGATCAGTATATGGTGCTATGTGCACCCAGAAGAGGCACCTTTAGGAAGTGATGGCGTGGCATATAGTAGGTTCTAGAAGTACTTTATGAATGAATGAATGAATGAATGTGACACAGCTATTAAGTAAAACAAAAAAAAGAAAACAATTCAAGTCCAACTCTGTCCCCTGCCATGCACCTCTCAGTTTTACCAGGTGTTTGAGGGCTGGAATAGCTGGGTTGTGGGACCACAGGGGACACAGAGGATGCCTCAATGGCCAGGATGCCACAGATGCTATTTGCACAGACTGAGATGTGTTAAGAATATTGTCCCTGGAGAGGTGGGTGAGGCCAAGGCATTTGACAGCCATCTCACTAATGCTGAGCCTCTGTGGCTCTGACCCAGAGGCCACCAATTCTTTCCGGTCCCCTGCCCTGGCCCTCGCACCCTCCCTACCTTCATGGGAGTCAGCCCTTCTGCTTTAAAGGTATGGCT